ATATAGTCAGAAACAGGCACACACAATAAGCAATTGAGAGAAAAATATAAAATATCGAGTAAAATATATTGTATAGAAAAAATATGAAAAATATGGTCAAAAATAAAAGATAAGTTAATGAGATAAAATTCAAAAAATTATAGAATAATAATCAAATAGATAAGAAAAAAAAAAAAAAGAAAGTCAGAGTCTGTCAGAAAGGATATTTAAGAGCTTCACTTTGCACAAAATAAGGACTTTTAAAACACGTTGTAGGCGCCAATTTGTTACAAATTAATTGATATTTGTTACTTTAAGACAAGATAACCTAGGGTCGTGGAATTAAAAAAAAAATTAAGATAACGTGTAGCCCCTTTATGTGCAAATGAAACCACTGAAAATCCAACAAACAATAATTTTATTTTGTTTACAATGTTATATAGTAACATAGAGTAACAGTAAATGTTACTTTCTGCAAAATTTTAGTGCTGACAGCTTGGTTTTTCCGGTGAATCTGATACCATGTACCTTTCCAATCCGGAGCTCTTCAATGGGTGTTGGGGGTTTCACTTTCGTGAACTGGAGCTCTTCGTGTTGTTTCCTGTATCCAGGAAGAGGATAGATTGCTGGGGTGACGTCACTCCAGCTGATCCAGACAGTGATCTTTATGTGGAGTAGGTACCCAGAAAAGAATAAGGCAGTATCAGGTTCACCAATATTTGGAATATTAAATCCCTGAATTCTGTCAAAAAGTGAGTGTCTTGCAAAGAAAATTTGAATTGAAATTTAATATAAAACTGTTGTTGTACAGACACTCCCTTAACAGAATCAGGTATGAACAGCTATTGCAAGTTGAGAAAAAAGATATTTTAATATAAAAAAAAAATTATAATAAAATTAAAATAATAACAACAAGATTAAATTAAAATGCTCGTTATGATTGAGCAAAATGCTGCTTTTCTGACAGTAGCACTAGCAGGCAAAAATATGAACAAAATAAGGTAAAACAATAAGAAATTAAATCTTTGGATTCTCCCCCAAATAGACGAAATTTTCCTTTCAAATTACGGTAGCTAGTATAAATACTACAAGATAAACCTGACGGTGAAATTAATCAAATCCAGAATATGCTAAAATTCTTGAGATGTTTTAATTAAAACTTTTTAACTGAATTTTTGACCTGTCCGGATTTCTTTAAAAAAAAATTACACCCTTTAGTCGAGATAATAATTGATAGAGTCAAACAGAAAATGGCTATTCAGGCCTCTGCCTGGATTCAATAAAGAGTTGATAGGGATGGACACACAAATTTGGTTTTCACCGACTCTATTTAGAGCAAATGGTCCAATATTCCCACACTAACAATTGATTTTGAAAATCAGAGCAGCAGTACCTATATATTAGTCCAAAAGTCTGAATTGATTTACCTCAGAAAAAATGTGGCACAACCAATCAGCACTCGCACAAAATGGAAGACAACAATTAGATAAAAAAAATTAAAATATATATTTATATTTCAAGAATAGATAAGATTTATCAGGTGAAAACTTAACAATGATATGCTAATATGAATTGATAGCAAAATATATTGAAAAATCTATGAGGGAGAATCCAAAAAATATAGAGCAAAAATTATTAAAAACAAAAAGGACCAACCTGCTGGACTACTGTCGAGAAAAGAGAACGTTTTAGAAACCAAGCCCTACAGGAAAGCGATCCTGTGTTTTTTTATACTTAACTGCATTTTAACTAGTTCAACCAATCAGACGAGTACACCCAAAAGATCATATTCACTTCACAATGAATCACAATGAAAAAAACCACGTGGAATAAAAAAAAATAGATAAAAATCCCCTAGAATTATTTTATTTGTTTACAAATTATAATAAGTTAAATTAAGGTGATGTCAAAAATAAAAAACTGCTAATTAATTAGGTCATTAAGCCAAAAAATTATTATTTCAGAATTAGAAGTTAGAGAAAGACAGAAATATATCCATTTGTTTAAAGTGAGATAAATATAATTTCTTTGAATGAAAATACGAATGAATGTCGAATAAAAATAGCCAAGGAAAAGAATCACAATTAAAAAAAAAAAACTCATCAGGTACTAGATGGCAGCACTGGTAAATGAATTCTAGATATTTGCATTTTACGCACATGATGGATAGATGGCAGCACTTGTATTATTTTGAACTTTGTGGATATTTTTATTAGGAATTATTATTTTGCAGATTCTGAAATGGAAAAAATTACTTTATAATGAAAATAAGAAGAGATGGAACATGTTACGTAAATTATAAATTTATCGTAACAGCTTACGTAGAAATAAGTTACGGTACATGAAATATGATTAGATTTTTACGTGTTCATAAAAAAGTTTTAGGTCACGTGATATCTTTTTGTTCGACCACCCTGTATGCTTCTAAAAGTTGATGTCTACGTTTTTGTTTTTTTTTTTGGCGGAGTGGCAACATGAAGGACCGAATTCCGTTAGACAAAAACTGTTTCCTGTGCGAAATTCACCACACTAACGTAGTAGCATCGAGGAAAGGAAATTTCAACATGCCTATATTCAACTTGAATTATTCTCTCAAGAGAAAAGTAGATGTATGGAATAGGAGGTAGAAATTGCCTTATCACTTTGTGGTTGGAAAAGGTAAGTCAGCTCCAATCCGGCAGGCAAATATGAATTGGTAAAATAAACACATGATGTCCCAGGTTGAAACAGCCGTGACTTAGCAACAAGTCAGAATTCCACTTTACCTATCATTTCGAATTTGGGAACCTCGACCAAGTCACGGATGATTTCAGGCGCCAAATGTCAGAACTATTGACGTGTCTCGCAGAAATAGAAAAAGAGAGCCTAATTGTAATAAATACAAGTTAGAAAATAATAAAATATGACATGGGCGCGCTACTCGTGGCTGCAGTATAGCCAGATTGTATTGTTGCAGAACAAATGTAGACAAAACAAATCGAACATTATAACATTAAAGAAGTGAAATAGTGTCAAGTGTTTCACAACGCCTTAAATCAGACAAAAGAAGAGCTTTAAAGTGTATGTTAATATCGTTTGCACTTCTATTTTGATAAATGTTTCATCCGGCAACATCGCACAATGAAATTGCAAAGGAATATGTCAAGTATAATCTAACATAACCTTAAACGACACTGCGGTAAGTTCAAGTAATACATAAAGTATTAGTTTGCTCTTTGTCGAAATACACGTTACAAAGAAAGAAGGAACGATTAATTCTGAACTCGTCCCTGGATACGAATATGACGCAAGCCCGTAATAAATTCGATTTTCATTGGACGCTCACCTGCAACCCACGAGTTGCGCGCGCACACCAGGTATTACGAGACACGTCAATTGGAAAGGCATGACAGTTTGCTCGTGGCATTGCCATCCAAAAACTTGAGGATAGACACAATGCCTGAGACAGAATCGGAATATTCCGCCTGGGCCGAAGGACAGTCGGAAAAAAAATTAATGGAATTACTAAAAAATCCGTCCACTGATTCCGAAGTGCCTCATCCGAAAACAATTGAAAGCGGGTCACATTTGATATTACGGAGACAAATCTGAAAACTTTGAATTTTGAATCGTATCCTTGTAACAAACCAAAGAAGAAATCTGAAGGTTCACAGGGCGGACCGCAACGGTCGACAGCCGAGAGCGTTTGTTTGTCGGTCTGCGGTCAACGGGGAGGAAGGCAGGGCCCGGGGGATAGTAACGAAATCCTATTTTCTTTGCCCTCTTATGTGTTTGCAACTATAACCAGAAATATAGAAAGAGTCAACTGCACAAACGTAATATAAAGGGTGGGGGCCAAGGAAAGATTAAAGAGGAACAGTAGCCAGGCCGTAACGATGTTATACAGGATCCAATCTGGTTCAATTTAACGCTATCAAATAGTTGCGGAATTCCTCGAGGAAAAACAGGAAAATATTTTCTGAAAATAATAAACGTTAAAATGATTATTGGATATTGAATTTCTACCTAATATTATGTTTGGTAATTATTATTAGTTGCTCTCTCTAATTGCCAAACACAATACATAGTTTGAAGCAGCCTGATATAATTTTAGTGAAAAATACCTACGTTAATTAATTTGACTGGATAAAAAAACGTGGATTTCATGTTTCAAATTTATATATGTTATATAATTACCTACTCGTTTCTCTAAATTAATTAGCGGCATAGCAGACTTGTCAATTAAATTTATACTTTATAGATATAGAAGTGAAACCAAAATCAGTGTTTTGGTCGCCGTTATGTATTCAACTCAGCTTATTGTTGCTTAATTAACTAAAGCTTAAATCCTCGATAAATTGTAAATTACTAAAACAAGTATTATAGGCCAATAACTATTATTGCGATATTTGCGAAATCCCTAGAATTACCAGTCATAATGTTAACATAAAATCTACTACCAATGGTTTAGCTCTTATTAAGATTAATTATTCAAATTTTTTCGATGCAATTTTATAAATTCTCTTTTTTCAATCGGATAATTTCCGCGGATAAAATAAAACCCAGACGATCCTACCAGTAAAACTTACACCGACCGCCGCACGGTTGCTGCTGATGTTTTTGTTCGAAAACTCCATAAAACTTTACAACCCTCTCTTCACTAAAGTGCTTACCCTTTTTACCGTTACTTCATCAATCTCAGGGATAAGTTTATAAAATTCGAACTTGAAAAGTTCAGTTGCTCAGGAGTTATCTGACACGTTTCCGCTCTAATTACATATAAGAAATTAACCGACAGCAGAGTTTTTGGGGAAAGTTTTAATTTAGAGATGCATTGGCTTCGTTGAAGCTCCTCAATTTCACATTTTCATGTCATGTTTATTAAATTATAACATAAATATGGAACTGGTGAAACTGTATGTAAATTTCTGCTATGGCTAATATTTAGTCTTATTCTGTGTGCCTTTACTCAATACTGTGAAGCTTTAAACCTAATTTAAATAATTCGAATTTTAATCTTCTTAAAATTATTTATCTTTTAGTTGATCTTCTACAAATGTTGGAATTCAATATGTCCATAACCTTTCCAACGGCACCGCTACTGACAGTGATATTAGCATTGGTTGGTAAGTAATTTTTTTTTATTATACCCAGATATATACATGTTTCACTTAAGGCCGGTTTATCCACCTTCTGCTGTAAAACTGTCAGGTATGCAATCTGACGGATGAAAAGGCAATCTGTAATCCCATTACTTAGCCAGTTATCCGCCGACAAATAGAACTATAGAACGGTAAATTTATCTTGCAGATAGTTACCAGCAAACCGGGCCTTATTCAATTGAATTAAATTAAACGAAAAAAATATTTTTAATAATTTTAATTTTTTTTTTGAAATGTCAGATTTTTGTATCTCTTTCATATTCCATATGATCAGTGAATTTGCCACCATGAAAAATATTGTAATATAACAACATTGACTAGAAAATTTGTAAGAAAATTAATATATTAGGTATCATAGACTTCAATATTGTGAATAATTCAGTTGGAAAAAATGAACGGCGCACAGTGGGCCAGAAATCCCTTGAAATATTGAATTATTCAAAAATATGAAACTGCAATTTTTTTTTTATTATGGTTAAGTAGGCTATGGGTCATCCCAAAACAATCGAATCTTATTGATGCGTTGCCATGGAGACTCGTAAACGCGTACAAAAGTTTGACGTATTTGTTATTGTTAGCAGTTATTAATCAATCTTATCAAAAAGTTGCATTTTATAACTGGTCAAAACTTGTTGTTCGCGAATTACAAAATATTTTGTGATGAATAACTTCCAAGCAGGTAAGTCAATGATTCTTTTAAGCCATTAGTTTTCTGTCATTCATTTGGTGATGCGAGAATATTTTGAATTATTACATATTGGTGTAAATGTTTGCAACTAAATACATATTTAGTTATTTTAACCAAAAATAACTGAATGTTCTACACATGGATACATATTTGTTGATATCTAGTTTTTTTCTTTGACCTTATGACTTTTCATTAAAAAAAAATAATTTGTGCAACTTTATGCAACTTGTTGATTTATTGACGTTTCTATTTGCCTAGTATTTTACCTACAATGTGGGACATATTAAAGTTCCACAGTTCTTTTATCGCTAATAACTTTCGATGTGATTTGATTATTCTTGGCAGGTGGGTAGGTTTGTATGTTCCTGTAAAGTTGTCAAATTTTCATGAACAAATTTTATACAGTGGCGTAGTTACGAACCTCTTTCTAAAACGGTGCATATAAAGTCGTTGCCGAACCCATTTGTTTGACCCATATTTAAGCCAATACGTTTCAAATTGTTTGATATTTCTTTTTTTTTTGTATTTTCTTAGTATAGGTATTCTCTTTTGATTTGAACTCTGTATGTTGGTTCCATTATTTATTCGCATAGGGATTCTTCAGACTTCCCAGTGATTTATTTAATAAAAAATGAAAATTCATTTAAACAGGGAAAAATACAGAAAATTATTTTTTGTGTAGGAGATTTTATATTTTGACGTAAAATTGAATTCTAAACAACTTTTTTTTAATACATTTTGCATATCTTTTAAATTAGGGGTACCTTATTCTTACAATAGTACCTAAACCAATTTTCTATTTTTTTTTATGACCCTGTACATTACATCTATAATATTTCTACTGTTTTGGACTTTCCAGGGTATGCAAAACTTTTCATGAAGGATAGCTTTTTTTGCTTATGTCGATAATAAAAAAGTTTTTCATGTGGTGCCATTATTTTCGCACACGCTGTATAACATCGTTAAACAAACTTTAGACAAGCTTCAAATACATTTTAAAAATTAATAAACGAGTTTGTTTTAAGCGTTTTATGCGAAAAAAAATCATAAAACATAACTTAACACTTTTTCCATATTTTAAGGGGTTTCTGGCCCACAGTGCGGCGTTGGAGAAATAATTATGTATTTGCCAACGTTTTGGCTTAATTAGGCAATCCCCAGGGCACTAAAACATGATATTTGAAATGATAATTGAAAATTTCAAATTTCTATCTATAATAGAAAAAAAGTTATGATCTTTTAAAATTTTCAAATATCCAAGTCAGAAGATAGCTATTTTAGTACTGAAATCATGAAATTTCATTTTTTTATGTTGAGATTTTGTGTTTAAATGAATATTTGAGATCCCCCAAACTCCATACATTAAATTATTCTGAGATTTGAAGCCGAAATCTTGGAAAAAAGGACTTCAGGATATTGAAAAATTGATAAATTCACCCTAAATTGCTTAACGCGATTTTATTTCTGGAACTATGTAATTTGACCTAATGTATCTTCGACCTTCTGGTATCCGATCCTTTGTTATTCGACACTCGAATTTGTATTTTCGACATTTCGTAATTCGATCTTTTTTCCGTAATTCCAATTATACAACTATATGAGAACATTTATAACAAAATAATATAAATTTATACAATTCTCTTGTTATACTAATAAGCAATTTGATACGATCAAACAATATTAGTGGAAAAACATTAAAAAATGAACAGATACATACTCGGATAAATAGGTAGCACATAAATACATCATTGAACAAATTTTATCAAAACAGATATTACTTACATCCTAGTCGTACCTACTTGTTCCTATTATGGGTGCTGATATCGATGTAAATCATGAACAAAAAGGTTCGTAATAGCTATTTACCTAACAAGTGCGGAAAATGAATTTTTTCCCAGCGGGCTGCCGTTCACCGAAGGACGCGTAGCGTAGTTCGGTGAAGCAGCCGAAATTCACTCATCGACTTTTTTTAATAAGTTGTAGACTTGTGATGCTTTCACGCAACGTTGAATGGAATCTTTCGATAGGACTGTTTGAAGTTGGATTTCTCGGAGTTGTATAGTAAAATTCAATTTTATACAATTTACATAAATCAGTAATTATTGCATTCTTAAATTCTGCTCCGTTATCCGAGGTAATTCTTTGAGGTATTCCGTGATCAGTAAGTAAAGTACCTACTTTGAAAGTTGTGATGCAATTTCTATGGCTGTTTTAGTTGTTATCAGTATAGCTTGACCGAATTTTAAAAAGCTATCTATAATAGTTGGAAAAACTTTTCTTTATTTATCATTTCGGAAGGTTTTGCTCCAATCGGTGTTGGTTTGAATATTATTTTATACGGTTGCCGTTCATGTTTGATTTTATCACAGATTTCACAAGCTCTTACATATGCTTGGACATCTTTGTCAATATGAGGCCAATAATATCGCTTCTCCAAAGCTGATAAATTTTCCGTTACTCCTCTATGATACGTTTTAGTTTCATGGAAGAATTTTATTTTTTCCTATCATTGTCTATTATATCCTTTACGAATGAGTTAGATATATGCAATGTAAAAGAGTTGGCATTAAATGACGTTTGTAATGCTCGTATTATTATCGTTTTCAATGTCTTATTAAAAAAGTAAAAACAATACTTATATAACAGGTGGCATAAATTCTTTAACAAGATCAGTTATTTGTTGTAATGTTGGATCATTTGGTAGGAAAAATAGTATTCTTCTTTTATAAGGAAATGGTTCAATTATTTCTTTCCGAATTGAATTATCATTAGAATATCGAAATATTTTTTGATTTTGAAACAAATTTAACTGTTTCTCAGTATAGGGTGCTCCTAATATTGGATCTTCAAAAGATGTATGAATAATTTTTTGTTCATTTTCCGGAGGTGCTGTTACTGTTCTTTCATCATCAGAACTTTATTTAGATCTCATTGAAAGACAAGGATTTTCTTGATCTATTTTCGAAGATTCGCCCTCTTCTATTAGAATTTCCTTTTTCTTATTTTTTGGAAGTATTACGATCTGTGATATTATCTTAATTTTTGGACTTTTCTTAAGTTCTGATGCCGTTTTTGTAATTGAAAAGATTGAGTTAATGATTTTTCTTTCTCTTCTTCAAAAGATTGTTTCGGCATAAAAGGTTTCGAAGTAGTAAAATATTTTTTAATTATTTATTCATTATCTAGAGGTGTTTCTTTCAACATTTCTCCTAATTTTCTCTGAAATTCTTCATCTGATTTTGTTAATCTTGCATGTATCAATAGCATTTACTTCCATTGGAGGATTTCTTGATAGCGCATCTGCGTTCATATTCAAAGTTCTTTTTTTTTATATTTAATCTCATAGTCATATTCTGATAGTTTCAATCGCCAACGTCCTAGTTTAGAACTTGGTTCTTTTCCAATCCAGACAATGCATTGTCCATTGCTCTTTGAAATGTTGCTGGTGCATTTTTCAAACGAAATGGCATTCTTCAAAATTCGAAATGACCATTTTCAACATTAAAAGCTGTTTTTGATATAGAATCAGGATGCATTTCTACTTGGCGAAACCCTGAAGCTAGGTCTAAGGTTGTAAAGTAATAACTACGACCTACTTTATCTAGTACATCTGTGATGTTTGGTAAAGGATACCTATCATCAATTGTCTTTTCATTAAGTTTTCTATAGTCTATCATAATTCTCCATTTTTGAATACCGGACGCATCTTTCTTTTTTACTATCCAAACTGGGGATGACCAAAGACTGCATGATGGTCTAATTATATCATCTTCAACTTTTTTTTTTAAATTTGTTTGTTAACTTCCATTTTATGAATATGAGTATTTATATGTTTTTGTATGAATTGGAATTTCATCTTTAGTTTCAATCTGATGTTCCACTTGATTTTTTAATGTCAATTTATCATAAGGTTGATAAAATATTATTGGAAAAGCATGTATAACTTTTACTGCAGCAAAATCTTCTGTATTTAATTGATTAGTACGCAAAAGATTTAAAGATTCTAGAGATTTTGTTCCATACTCATAATTTTGTAATGGCATTATTTGTCCTAAATTAAATATTTCAAAATTATCGTCATCATAAGGAAGGGCTCATGAGTCTTCTAGATCATTAATCTGATGATCATTATAGAATAATTTGTCCAAATTAAGGACTTCTAAAGGAATCATTTCATTTGAACTTTTACGATTGTTGATGGTATAAGAAAATTATCATCTTGGCTAAGAGGAGTTAAAATTTCTATTCCTTCTAGTATATTCGTATTGAAATGACA